AGAAGATGGAAGGAAAATGTTCAAAAACCAGACAACAGCTTTTGGATGGTTGGGATATAGATGAGGAGATATACTCCATGCCAAAAGAGTTAACCATGCCAATAGTTCACAACACTGATATAGTCATAAAACAAATTTCTCTAAACACGTCATGTCCACATGTTGATTTTGAACAGGGGTACCACAAAATAAGAGCAACCTTAACAAGTGACTTCTTTGATGACAAGTTTGCCATGAGAGCTGTCGCTCGCAGACTAGCCACTTTAAAGAACCCATCAGGTCACAAGGAATTTGACATTAATATTGCAAAAAATAAACCAGAGCTTAAATCATCTGTTGCTACAGTCCTTGGTATTCACAGAAGCCTTGTAGAAAATGTAAAAATAATTGAAATTGAAATGGGAACCAAGAAATTAAAGCTTGCCAGTGATGCTCCATCTTCACCTGAATTACCTGAAGAATCCTCAACAAAACTACAACCTGTATCTATTTCTTCAACAAGTGTTTGTGAACAATTATCTTCACCACCTGTAATATCAACTGTAAATATAAAGCCAGCTAACTCAACAAGTGCAACTGCTTCAAAACAGAAAATGTCTATCATTAGCACTATGAACTCTGATATGTTGGCACAACAACCACCCCGTGCAACAGTTAATACTAAGAACTTGCCTTATCATGCAATGAAATTGTTGAGAATGGGTGCCATGCCATTATTCCCGCCTGCGAGAAGAGAATGGACAACCTCTGAAGCAGTCACTTTAACTGAAGGAAGCCTGTCAATTAAGTGGCCCCCTAAAAATTGGGTCGCTCTTTCACCTGATCAAAAACTCCTTCAGTTGGAATTTCTCTCATTCCAAATTCTTCAAGAGCGTGGTATAAACACCAGCAACTTGGACAGATCTGATATTCTTGATGAGTTTAACTTCTTGGCACTGCCAGGTACAAAGGCATATACACTACCCGATAGAGTCAAGCATCCAGCCTCTCATTTAAGGTTTGACATGTATACCACTCTCAGGTTCATTGCAAATGGAAAAGGTAAGAAAGATGAGAAATGGCTGTCTATGGTAGAATGTGGTTGTATGTTAAGGGAAACCAAAAATGACAAACTTTTAAGGCAATGCCAGAATGTACCACTTAGGATATGAAAACCATACATGTAACAGTAAATCAAATTAATACCATTCATTAATGACAGTTAAAGGTATTATAAACACCTACTAATTGTATGTGTTATATTATGAAATTATCACTAGTAAATATTGTTTTAATAACTTATAGCATATATCAAAAATGAAACTTGTCGTATATATGTTACATTTATCATTTAACTTATCTCAAGTTATAGTATAGACTGTGCTATAAGTAATATCTTACAAGAATTTATACTGTTCAAGTTGATATATTGTCTGTGCTTAAGAGGAAGCACCTTAACATTTTAAGCCTATTTAATAGTTTAAGAAAAATTCAGGAGAATTTTGTTTTTGAAAGTTGGGGAGAGTGTAAAGAAATCAAAACTGCCATATTTTGTACATGTATGTTTTTGTCCCATTAACTAGTTAATTTCGTATATTTGTTGTTAAAAACTTATATTATCAATTCAGTAGGTAATTTTGGATACTTATCTACCTAAAATGTCCTTTAATTCAACTTGAAGCACTGCTTATCTTCTTATTTTTATGATTTTGTTCAACAAACACTGTAAATTTCATGGAGGCAGCCATTTTGGTTGTTATTGTTGTTAACTGTCACAGAAATAATTACGAATCTGTGATATTTACTAAGATAAGGTTTAAGGGACCTATCTGAGAACCAATATGTTCTCAAACTTATCTAGCTAGCATAAGATTTAAATACATTGAATATATAATTGTGATTTTAATACTGTTTCATTCAAACACAGTGAGAATTTTTACCGTTCAATCTGAGCGTCTGCAAACCGCTACACTTCGAATAGTTTTTCCACGATTGTAATAGAAGTATTGCATAGTTTTAGAAGTATTATATATCAAAACATTTGTCTTGAAATAATCTATCACTCTAGATGTATAAGCACTGATCATATTGTTTATGTTAAACATGATTTGTAATAAAGTTTGACTGAACGTCCGTTGAAGGGAACGGTGTCCTGGAATTCCTGCCAGTCGCCGTTCTGCAATTTCATTTGAGAACGGCAACCGGTACAAATCTGATTGGTCACTAGGAACACACCTTCCTCACCGGGCATTCAGTCATTGGTCAATTTAATCACGTGGTCACATCTCAGAAGCCTATATATTGGCTGGATTCAAGATGATGTCAGTATCTGCGTCTGCTTTCAGACACGTAAATAACTTAAGAGCGGCAAATACAAATATAAAATCTAGTACACGTAAGTCCCTGGTAAACAATTGTCCTGAGCTGTGTCCACAAATGATTAACTTTGTTGATAAACAGTCTAGATCTATATTTTCTAGACTTATTTACAGAGTGAAAGAGACGAGAGCTTAACGTTATTACTATATTTATAAATTATTAATTAACGCATGATAGATGTTAAATAAACTGAGAACTTTTTGATCAAATCGTTTATATTAGTTGCGTTTTGTGTTTTCACCTGACACCCGCCGGCCGTTACACTATTTATACATCCAACCTCTTTGCTTTCAATAATGAAAGGGCTTTTTAATCAACAAATGTACAAAATGTATACATAATTACTGCAGTGAAATGTTCTTTTCATACCATTAAGGGTATTACTGAAGAACAAAGCTTAAGCAATATCTGTATCTGATTCTCCTAATTAACTAACACAAGTTCATATGGTGAGAGAATACAAAAGTTCTCGAACAAAACATCACCTTGTTAACTGGTTAAATTATACAATTGTTTAAATATTTACCATTCGCTTCAACATGATTTAATCCGATTAAGTACTTTCAGAATATCATCAAGATTATTCAAACAATTACGTCACTGACTTCAGGCAAATTTAAACCGTGTATACACATTGTTTTCAATTGTCCCTGGACCTCGAGAGACCTATGACAAAACGAAGTTATAAACAATATCATTTTCACTCGAACTAGGCCTCAAAACTCGCAATTCCAGTGTTTATTATTTGCTTAGCTTGTTGTAGATCCGTTGATGTTAGAAAATTGGAGTGTTGGGTTTGTGATACTTCTATCAGATTCATCTAAAAAAACCGGGTTATTGAAGTCGGCATCATCGGAGGAGAAATTTGGATTTACATGAACCGGCTGCAAGTAATCATCTTGTAGTACACCACCTGTTACCATTGCAGACTCATTCATGCCTCCATAGACGTTTGGAACTGCAGATGATCTTAACTCGTTTGTTGGAACGTCTTTCCTCTTAAAGCTTAACTGTTCATACTCATTCTGTTTCTTATCCAAGCTCAGGTATTCATTCTCTTGATTCTAAAATAAAATTGATCATCATTCAGTAAAACATTTGTCAAAAACTGTTATTTAAACGTAGATTTTTTATCAGTGTCTAAGGTATCTATTTTGAAAAGCTATAAATAGAAAATGAAAAACGGTACAGCTGAGCTTGGAGATAATTTGAGTGAATACTTATGTTAGGGCGTATTAAAGCTAATTTTTTTTATCTCTTTAAGAAATAAGACCACTTATAACATACTTACTTTCTTATTTTCCAGCTCATTCGCGCCTATAACATAAAATAAGTTGAAATCGGTGTCTGCTTGGCCTATCAGCAGGGCGGTTCAAATAGGCCTATGTCAGAATGTCAAAATGATTATAAGTCACACTGTCACCGCCATTGTTTCCATTATTGGTGCGCCTGATTAAATGATATATGTCAAAGTTAAGAGTTATAATTCTTCTCAAATAAGATGATAATAAGTAACAGTAAGAGTTACAACGTAGAAATAATGATGATTCATATACTACGTTCATCCTTTAAAAGAAATAATTTACACTCCTCGCCGTTACTATAGAAACGTTGTAATCCTTTAAAGCATTTCCTTACCAAAAATGGATTTACAAGCTGCTTATATGATCAATTAAACTAAAACATATTAGACCTAATTTCAACTTTTTAAAGACAGTTAAGCATCATTTTAAAACAAAACAAATGTCTTAGTGGAATTTGCAAAATAAAATCAAAACAACATTTACCTTTTAACGATAACACAAACTAGGACAATTATGACAATGGCCAGGACTGCAAACCCGGCAGTGCCCCCACCAATAGCCGCCGCAATCGGTAGCGTTTCCGGTTTGGATGTTGACGGGGTCGCTTTTTGTGAAGACATTGGACCCTTTGAACTTGGCGAAGTAGTTGTTGTCGGCAATTCAACTGCATAAACAAATACAACAATATCATTTTATCACTTCTTAACATGTATAGTTGTTACCTCGATAACCATTTTGTACATGAAAGATTTGATATCCGCTCTAACACTTGATAATAACAATTATAATCCGAAAAGGTTAAGTGTTATACACATTCAATGATAAAATACAACAATAAACTAGTGCTGTCAAACATTACTGTGTTATGATTAAACATATACATTGTATTTTCAAACATACATTAGGTCTTAATAATTATCTAATACCTAAGAAAATGGTATTTTACAAAGTTAAGCTAAGGAATATTTAACCCAAGAATCATGATAAGTTAACATTTATTCTTTTTAATATTGTATGTCTAATTTAAGTACATCTCGTCTTTAATGCAAACTAAACCTTGAAAAGCAATCATACATTTCTAGTTTTTATTTTAGTTCGATTGTGTTTGAAGATATAAGCCTATCGAAACACTCTTGAATCTGTTCCTGGAACCAACCAGTACTAAGCAATGACTGTAAAGTGTTTTGCTGAAGGAAACAACGGCTTGCCTCTGACAGGGTTTGAAACAACGCGGTCAGCAATCCTAAATAACTAGTCCGACGCGTTAACCACGCGGCCATGCCGCCACTACATTTTTGCTTCAGTAATAAATCCTACATGCTTTTAGAAATACAATACCATTTTCACATGTTTTGCCATCACTTCTTAGTGCTACGTTGTCTTCGCATGCACACTTGTACCCGGTATTTTTAGGCAGACAAAATGTACTGCATGGACCACGCCCATTATTCTCAGAGCAGGCTGCTGATTCTGTAAATATTCAAATGTGAACAATTAGTAGACACCCATTAAAGGAAAGTGCCATGAACTTTAAAAATTTATACATGTTCTTATTGATACCTATCTCGTTATATTCCCTGAAAGTTTGAAATTTGACAGATTACATTTAATTTATGTACATGTAGACAAAATCAGCCAGTGAGTAAAAAGTCACTTACGTGATGGTTCAAGCATTGAACTATAAAGTGCTAGCGAATCCAATCTCCCTAATTCCGGCTTGTAACCGACTTTAATAACACTTGAAGGGTTTGTCTTGGATAATTTGGAAATATACCTAAATATAAAATAATTATTGGCTGATCAATGAATTACTGTCATGTTTGTGGGAAGAATTAAGTATACAATTAACGGTACTGTTATAAAAATACAGAAATTCTTACGTTCCAATTTCAATTTACTTCATGTCATTACATGTTATTAAAAAGATAAACACAAAATAGTATCTAATATTTTAAGTTAAGTGGACGATTTTATATTTTAAGTATAGTTTTGTTTTTACATTCAATAAAGAATAGTCTAGCCAATTCCTAGGATGATACAAAATTTAGGGAGGGACCGTGAAATGGCATTTGATTCAGGTTTATTGATATTCTTTCAGGCAATATTTAGTATTGTCATATTTTTATTTATTTATAAAATGAAATGATTATCATAGTACGTAATTCTATATAGTAAATGAAGGGAAATCAACCTAAACAAGACATAACATTTTGCAGACAACTTACGGTCTATTCCGAGCAGTGTAGTACATATAATCACCAAGTAATGTTATATCCATAAGATGAGACCCGCTGTCTGTAAAATGGTTCGTGCAAACACCATGGTATGAGCATTTGTATATTATGTTTGTTTTACCGTCGGTTATGTACAGTACATTAGCTGAAACAACATATGAGAAGCATTTTAAGCATTTAAAAAGAATATTACAAAAGAGTTCATAAAATGTTACTTTTATCAATTAACTCAATAACCCTAAGCTGTAGTTTTTTCTTGTTTAGATAAATGAACGTTTGACATATTTGTATCGCCTATCAGTATCATCTTTAATAGCAATTTGTCTTTCAATAGAATTAAAATAATTTGAGAGGTACAAAATTAGATATGATATGAAATGTGATTTAGATTTTTTAGGAGTTATATTGCTAAGGCTTTTTAAACTTGTATTCTTTTTTTTTCATTAAAAAATATCCTCCGTCATATCAATCAATCATAACAATTATTAAACAAACAGTTACCCGAATTATCTTTTTGTGTACGATATGCAACACTTCCGCGTATTTTAGGGGACAATGTGGTTCCTATATTTTCAATACACATTGCAATTTAATCTTTTATAAAAGTATCTTTTGACATTACATGTTTTGTATAGATTCACGTTTGATTTTAACTGTTTGTGAATGTAATTATTGCAATATGTAATCAAATTAGGCAAAGGTCTGATAATTGCAATTAATCATACACTTTTATATATTCTTTATTTAAACAAAGAGTAATACACCTCTACCTTTACTTAAGTGAGTCAAAACGAATTTATGTAACCAATAATGAAACATTTATCTTAAAGCAATGAAGATGGAACGAATGTCTTAAAATATTCTGTCTTGCTATCACCCGGCACCAAGTCGTTTAAAGATAGATTACTAACGTGAATGTTTGAAACATTGAGAAACAAACTAAACATGATTTGTAATAAGTTTTATAATAAGTGAGTCATGTTTCTCTCGTGCTAGTTAAAGACAATGACATTCTTTTCTATTTTATTAATAAGATATTCTGAACCGAGAAAGGAATCCATATAGCTTTAAATAATAGTACTGCAATTTATTATACCTTTTGTATCAATTGCCAGACCATTTGGCCAGACAAGACCGTTGTTAATTATTTGCTTAACGTCTGTACCATCCATGTTTGCTCTTGCTACATAGGGAGGATTATAACCATGGTCTGTCCAAAACATCAGTCTGTCAGGAATACAACAATACTGATATCACATCATTTAGGTTATTATAAGTATAATTTTACCAACGTGTCACATAGAGCATTCAGTTAAGTCAATATATGCTTAATATGCTTTGCGTTGTCTTTTCGTCGAACATGTGGAATTATTGGTACTTCAATTTCTGAGACTGGTCATGGCAATTTAATCTTAGGATAAGGTGAAATCTGCCTGTCATATTGTTTTAATATTGAAGCTTTACACAAAAATACTTTTCTCCGCTTATGTGTTATTGGTTTGATTTGAAATATAACCTTTTATACTTAAATTATGCTCCTTTTGCCGTAGTGAGGAAATGTTAGGTATATGCAGAGCTATTTTTTATAATTGTTTTATCTTTAGATTGAGTGCCGATGTTATATATATAGGATAATAAACAATGTAAAATTGGGTAAATTGATATTTATAGTGTTGTATATAATGCTTCTGTAAGATAAAGAAATAGTTTAACGAATCATTTAACTAAGTTCATAGTTACCCTTCTTCTGAATCGAGAACAATATCTCTTGGTTTTGATCCAGCAAGAAGGACACGTTTGTGAAGACTATTAGTTGATATAACACCAATTCCAACAAATCCTGTCTGTGAAGTGGGGTTAGCGGTGTAGTATAAGTTTCCACTCGGGTAGTCGATAGCGAAAAGTTCTGCATAGCACCCTAGTAGCTCTGGAATTGATTTATTCATAATACTAGCTAATGAATTTAACGTAAATTTGAATCAACATTTAAAGGGAAAATATTCATATCATAATAAACGAGAACTTACAAAAATAAAATCAAACAAAATAGAGGTATATTGATGCCACATAGATTTCAATAGTGTGCCAAACAAACAATGTTGATAAAACAATGATTCACTTCATGAAGTTGAAAAATGTTAAAATATTGTTCATAAACAGCAATAATTTACTATAAAATTAGGCCATATTTCGATTTGATCCTTACCCGTATTAAAGAAAACTTTATAATTATGATTTTCCAGACTAAGTTGATGAATCAATTCCTTGGTACTCCACATTAGCTGCCTTGTGATAAAATTATAAGCAATAGCGATTGGGTTCCCGAAAGTGTCCGTGTCAATAGCTCTGACCTCATCGTTAACTAGGGACACCTGATATATCGTATTATGTGTCCAGTCAGTAACCACGAGAAAGTTGTCTGTCATAGGAGCTGCAAGAGAAGAAACATTTTAATAAAAATTATAGTAAATAAAAAATGCAGGTCATTTTATTCCTTTGAATCTACTTGTTAACAGATGCTTAACAGCATTTACAATTACATTATAAATGCCTTATCAATAATGTGCCTATTCGTGAAGAAATAATAAACGTCGTAAGCTATTACAGAGTAGGTTTTCGACTTTCATTTATACCCTTCTTACAGTTGTACTTTTAATAATACAATGAAAAGATCGTTATTTCGACAACATCCTTCTAGCAGCTCAGATAACAAAAATGTAGCTCCATTGGAATTAATGAACTCTCCACAAAGTCACAAGGAGGTTTTAATAATAATTTGTTATCTATAATGCTCCTTTTCATTAAATATATGACTGCTTTGTGTTATCATTATATAGATTTACGAAATAATTATCTTTAAAGTAATGAAACTGACACTTTTTATGAAATCATTTCAAACAAAAATCTGTGTTTTGATATAATATAAATTACTTGAAGAACATTTCCTCTTGTCTAAGTCAAGCTGGTACCCGTATTCACACTGACAAATCCTATTTCTGCCAATTGGAATGCAAATCTGTTCACAGTCTCCGTTGAGTATAGCACATGGACCTATATGACAAACATACCAAATCATGAAACGACAAAGAGGTAGAAGCTCATTTTACTATGATATGAGGTTATAACTTCAATTAGGTTTTCTATGATGTTTGATTTTTATCATAATAATCACCCATCTTTGCAATTATCATCATCATCATCATCACCATCACCACCAACAACCACAGAAACAACAACACCATAGGCAACAATAAAAGCATCAGAATCTTTATTATTAGTAATGGGCAAACATATTTTCTTTAAAAGTCTTCATTAGATTTTCTATGATGTGTGATGTTTTAACATAATAATCATCATCTTCGCAATTATCATCATCATCATCTCCATCATCACCAACAACCACAGAAACAACAACACCAAAGGCAACAATAAAAGCATCAGAATCTTCTTTTTTATTATTATTATTATTGGGTAAACATATTTTCTTTCAAAGTCTTTGCTACAAAGTATCAAACAACATGATGTATATCATTCTCTAAGCAAAGTAACTTGTAGTCAAATTTATCAAAACAGGTAGCTAGTATGCTGTAATAAAGAAACATACCCTGCTGCTCGGACTGCAGTGCTGCATCTAACACATGAAAGTCCGTCAACGAAACCAAGTCAATGTTGGACATCTGGTACTTTAATACTGGTTCAGATTTCTTTTCAAAAACCTTTATAACATTGCTAGCGAAAGAATCGTCGGCAATGATAAGAAAATTCTGAAATAGAACAATTACCGTATGAAATATATGGCTAAATATGAATTATTGATGAAGTTGTAGTTGTGTAGTTAAACACTGGCATCAATAAAGCGGTAAGTAAAGTTTGATATATAATATGAATATTATCAAAATGTTGTTTTGATCAGCTTAAAAATGGAAGTTCATTCGCAAGTCTTATCCTCTAATCCTTACACTGTTATGTGAAAGAAAAATTGATCAGATCATACGTCTTGCATGATAAACGGAACGAATTATACTGAAATTTGCTTAGAGATTTATTATTTTCTTAGTTCTTTATGTTATTCTCTCCTTCACGGATGAATTATTCACACAGAAGTTTACAGCACATATATCATTTAAAACAATCTTAATGCTCTGCTCCAGGACTTTCGGGATCGCTCATCTCAGTATTTACGTGATTAATGGTGCCGATATGTGTTCTATTAAAGCCAATATTATATATATCACTTTCAAAGGTTAAACTACTTCTTTGTTTTCGTCTTGTCATTTGGCGCCATGTTGCTAGCAAAAGCAAATGATGACATAATCAAAATTCACTTGTTTACTGTTGCGCAGCAAATAATTGCTCAAGTATGTAATTCAGCGTGTCGCCGTAACTTTATTTAGACGCTCGACAAGACAAAATTAAAAGAAATTTGGTCAGCTGTTTTTCTGCTAATTATTTGCTGTAGTGTCCGTTTATACTTCTTTCATTTGTTATTCTTAGATACCTTGAATGTATGATTCTACGACAGCAAATTGCAGCAAATGGTTTGAAGCATACATTCGGCAATACTTAAAATATTTCTAAAGCAGGCGTCTGTGGTTGAAATGTGAAGCTAAGGCAGCAAAACATTCGCATAAACAAATCAAAGGTCTCACCTTGTAAGACAGGACGAGCATCGGTGACATTAAAGTTGATGTCGGCGCCAATGTCGTCAATTGTTTCCCCTCAAAGTCACAACTTTTGACTTGGGTATCATCAATGAAGTATATACTGAATCATATAATAAAGTAATATAATTATGTGTATTGCCAAATGGTTGGTTTAATTTGGTATTAAAAAGTGTAAATATAATATTACAATGCACGGTTAATATTTATCTTCCGAAACACGCTGATCAATAATTATTTGACTATTTATATAGTTACATATTTCTTGTGAAAACGCACGCACAGATACCAAATGACTGTAACCGCTTTTATGTTACTTTATAAATGTTAGCTCGAACTTCATGATAGATGAAACTCAAAAGTTGAGATATAATCATCATTGATTATGAATTTCAGAAGTATAACTTAGTGTTTTATCTCCATTTGTTCATTTTTGTACAAATATTTTCAATAAACTGTATACAAAATAAACATTTCGCCAAGTTTTTTTCGGCTACTTATTCGCAACAAAAATTATAATTTACCATTTCTTACTATTAAATTGATAACATTATTGAATTAATTAATCATTACAAAAGTAACGCACGTGGTCGTTGATAAATCAATCGTTAATCCTTTCATATCAACCAACGACGTACTGGTAAACAATGTAACTCTTTTTGAACCATCTAATTCAGCTTTTTCTACTTTCTGTGAACCAGCTGACCCTGATATCCATACTAAAATACTGAAATAATTAAAGAAGACAAGAATTTCTATTAACAATTGTTTCGTCAGAAGAGGTAATGAAAAACATTTTGACAGAGAAACTTAATTGATTTAAGATTGTTGGCAAAGGTTTAATAGGAATATATGTTAATTATGATTTCATTGCATTATCTAGAACTAAGTTTTATGGAATTTGCTAACAATCCAAGCAATACTCTGTTTCATAATGTACTCGAAGTCACAAATATTTTTTATAATTGATATCCATATAATTGGAAGGTATTCATGTATTTGTTTATTTATTACAAATCATGTTAATAAACAGACTGAGATCTTATTTAGTTTATTTTAAAAATCAATAGAAATATTATTTGATATAGAAAATGGGTTTCACACAACAAAATGTCACCAAATATCAGGTGATTCGAGAAACTGTTTTATAAATTGATAAATGTGAAGAAACCTGTGAAAGGGAGCAATATTGAGATGTTTCGGGTACGCAATATTAGTTGTGATCAAGTTGTATCCCATTCCTGTTTCCTGTGAAACCACGCTGATTTTACCTGCGAGTCCACCCATACACCAGTACACGTTGTTATCTCGCCAGTCAATGGCAATACCTGTGGTGTAGAGAAAAAGCTATACACTCGCCAGTCAATGGCGATACAAATTGGGTATAACAATTATTTTACACTCGCCATACAATGGCAATACCTATGGACGACAATTACTTTTACACGTGCCAGTCGATGTCAATACCTATGGTGTAGAGCAAACGCTATACACTCGCCAGTCAATGGCGATACAAACTGGGTATAACAATTACTTTACACTCGCCAGACAATGGCAATACCTTTTGGGTAGAACAGTTACGTACTCTACGCTTGTCAGTCAATAGCAATACTAATGGGGAAGAATATCAATTATTCACTCGCCATTATATGGGAAGGCCTATTTGGAAGAAAATTTATTATACACCTTGTACGACTTTGTTTAGACTACTTGTATCTAAGTCATAATAATGGTAATTATGAGTCCTTTTTTAAAATTCTCTATGTCAATATAATGTCAATGGGTCAATTAACGTCACTGTAGTTATCAAATTATGAGAGTGTTCACCTGTAATTGTTCCTGTAGCTGATAGCAGTCTCTGTTTTACGGGATTCGCACCAATATTGACACTGATTATTTCTCTGCCGTCAACATACACTAGCTTGCGTTCATTCATATCTTCAAAAGAAAGTAAAGTAGTGCCACTGAGAATATAAACTCTTTATGTTTTCAATAATTTGTATCATACAATACAGGTACTGCACGCTTGCTTTTATGACATCGCAAAATATTTTATATCGCTTAATCATATACTTAACAAAGTGTCCCTTTATCAAGCTTCGAAACAAACGAATGCACACATCGTTACATATTTAGCCGATATTTGGTGTTTAAGTATATAAATTTGTATATGTAATATATATGTAAGTTACCAATGTCAAATTGCGAGATGGCGGTTCCACCTTTTAGGAAACAGTCGGAAATGTTTGCATTGACATTTGATGTAAGAGTTCGAAAATCCTTTAAGCAAATGCTACTGGCATTGGAAGTCACAACCGCACGATGGTATGCACCTAGGTCCTCTGAAAACAAGATTTACATTGTATAAAGAAATACGAGTATGAAGATGAAAAAGGCTCATTGATCTTTGAACAATTCAGTCTTGCTTCAATCGATTGAATTATGTCCTACATTGTGAGTTGTTAGCACAACAAGGGCATGCTTTGGTTGTTTCAGCTAAAGGACGATTATTTCTGGTCATGTTTTTGCTTGAAAAGTTTATCAGAAGTAAACAAGTTAAAAAGAATAAAACTGTTTTCAATACTCACAGTTCATGCTAGTTTATAGACATAATTCGGTATACATTTGACTAAAGTTTTTCAAAAGTCTTTTTTCATTTTTAATCTTTCTTCCGCTTTGTTTGTCAGTAATCATAAAGATCGGGTTTTACTTAAAATCTGCAGCATTCATGCTGGCATGCATATACACAAGACCTCAACATTGCTTCTCTTTAAAAATTCAACTTGTAAATGAAGGCATAAAACTCCTAATTGTTTATATACATCAGTTAATTTTATCTCATCCTTAAATCATTGGGCATATTGTGGGAATACTTTCTACCCGCCCTATCATTCCGGTGCGTAGGTTTTGTTTTGACGTCCCATTTTCTCCTAACGTCGGAGCTTACAGCGGGAAATGATTTATACAGAACGTCAAAGTATACTACAGAATACGTTACCTGAACATGTTTTATAAACGCCATCTTGATTGAGAGTATAGCCTTCTTTACACAAACATACTGGACCATTCTTCTCGTTTATACAAATGTGGCTACAACCGAAACTTGAACAACCATCTGAAAAGGGTTTTAAACAATTCGTGACACGTAAGAGGCTTCTGAATATTAAAACTCAAACCATTTCCAGTTTTATAATACTTAAATTCATACCATTTCAGCTTTATAATACATTTAATGAACAATAACATAAAAGTATATTAATGTGACATTATGCTCATCCAAACGTAAATGTTGAGAGTACAGGTAAAATTCTAAATGATTTATATTTTTTCATATTTGTTTCCAATTTTATATTCTACTTCATATCAACAATTAGTTAGTCACATGGCACATGGAAATTTCTTCAATTATCATTCAGAATGTACCTGTTACGTTCTGTTCAGTTGATAAAAAGAGTGGGCAGTCTTTTTATGTTTTAGACAGTTTTTATTAACATTTTTTTCATCAATAACTGGTCAATCACCATTAAAACAATATTTTGAAATATATATCTACTTCAACTCAACTTTACAACGAAACAACAAATGTAATGTCACTAACAAATACTCTGCATACCTAACCTAACCTACATACTGTATTCTACAACAAAAGAAAACGCTTTTTCAAATCAAGCGTTAAAATTAAAAGTGAAAATGAGGAAGTATAGAGAGTTTTAACTTTCACCTTTATTTATGTATCATTGATTTTGCGGCACGGAAAGGGGAAAACCTTGTGTCACTAGCATTTATTAAACTTCTAATTAAACAAATGCGAAAATGTACGCTAGTATTTTAACCTTGCTGTGGGGCCCAAATAATATAAAAGTAGAAATATCATTTCACAAGTTTCGCAACAGGTTTATGTTTATCTTTTATTATTGCAACTGAGGTAAAGTAATGGTGAAAGTTCTGTGACGAAGAAATTAGTTGTCAAGGTCATTAGATTGTTTGATTAAAGAATTAGAATTTACATCTGGAGACTTAAAGCAAACATATAACCTTCAACATGACATTGAATCATTCAATTATTTTTTTATTATCTGCGTGTTTACCATGGCAAGCGCGTAATGAGTCAGTCAAAAACATCTCTTCTCTCTTCTGCTGTTTTTGTTTGTTTGTTTTTATTTGTTTTTTTTTCTTTTTTAATTGTTGTTGTTGTTGTTGTTTTTTGTTGTTTTTTTTTTGTTGTTGTTGTTGTAGTGTATGGTGTTGTTTTTTGTGTTTTTAACACACGCGATGTAATGAACCAATAATTAAATGCATTTGACACAGAACCATTATATGTCCTATAAGTAACATGCTAGAATGTTTTAGATTGTGTGTGTACTATCAGTTTTGGTGATTAAAAGCTGGTAAAGTGTTAAAAGACTATTCTGCTGGCGTGTTTAAGTTAAAGAGCCTTCAACATGCATAATAAATAGGCATATTTCAAATGTTTGCCGATATCTTTCTTACAGTGTGTTATTAAGTATAATTTACACAAAGTCATTCAAGCACTGGTCCTTTCCATACTGAAAAAATCATTCATTTTGGAATTCAATAAAAAATAAAAAGTATGGATTTAAATTACATCTTAAATCAGCACTGTATATTATAACTCACCAACTTGCGGCGGTTGAGCTTCTGCAGTATATAGTGTAACAGCAACAAAAGGATCACCACCTGTCAGTCTGAGGGTTTGAAACAGTTCACCTGTATTTTTGTTAAACACTAATAAAGTTCCATTTTTCAATTCTGTTACAGCCACCAGATCCTAGTAAATAAAGTTTATAACATTATGGGCCATCATTCTTACGACAGTGACAAGGTAACGACTCAAAATTGATGAATAGCTCGTATAAACATGTAAACAGAGCAATATACTTATTACAGATTATTGATCACATACATGTGATATTATTTTGTGTATCATTCTTTTATAATATGTTTCTGATAAAGTTTAAAACACACCCCTATACAAAGATACAATATATATGACCCATTGGCCTGTACGAATATAGGCTTCATTGCCCTATAAGTAACCAAAAATCATATTATTAGAACTATTTAACATTATGTTAACACTATTTAACACTATTTAACCCATATGTTTTGGTTTGTTTTTCAAATACCAATTTACGTCTGATTTACCGATAAATATTACTGACATTAAACTTTAATAGAGATGATTGTTATAGCTAATGATAATTGAAACTAACGCATCTTGGTCAAAAGAATGGTTTTGACCATTCTTTTCCTTGAGATTCCCTTTAGCAACTCAGTATATTGTTGATAAGTGTTTTAATGGGTCCTGTATCATCATGTATTTGATATACATTGAAAGAAATGTAAAAGTGTAATCATTGACTGTAGGAAAATATTAAATATTAACTGGTTTTAAATCGAAAAGCTTGTTTAATATAATGTTGCATTGTCAATAGACTACAATGTTCAGGATCTTTTCTTTTTTCTTTGCCCTCCAATTTATTCAATTATTACGTGTTTTGCGTCAGGCGAAAGCACGAAAGTACGACAAAGTAAAAAGGTCACATTGTCGAATTTTCTGGTTTTCGCCAGGCGCCCCGCGGAGCAAAAATGCGGCATGGCACAAATCTGCCACCATAAACAATAATTATGAATGCTGTAAAGGTTATTAGTGGTTCACGAACCTTAAACACTGCAACGTCATAGAATTCCGTGTGTGACAATCTGCTAATAACACGCCGAGAATCCCCGTTGAAATCGCTGGTTTCCAACGTGTCACGAGACCAGTCAACCCAAACTAATCGGCTATCCTCTTGGTCAATGGCAATACTTATCGGAAACACCAACCCAGTTGTGATGATAGCTTCCATGTCAGTACCTGATAAAGACGCCCGTACAATTTTCACATTGCGACCGATATCACTCCAAAACATATACCTGAAAATAAAGAATGTCATATACATGTAGTGTATTAAGGACATTCAGCAGTAAAAAGGTGTTGTTGTTGGGGTTTTTTTGTTGTTGTTGTTATTGTTGTTGTTTATTGTTGTTTGTTGGTTTTTTGTTTGTTGGTTTGTTTGTTTTTTTTGTTTTTTTTTGTTTTTTTTTTGTTTTTTTACATTGCAAAAATTTATTTTAGTATCATATTCAAGTTATTTAGATTGGAATATATTAAAAAGATTTAAAAAATTAACTTACTTGCTAATGGGGTCAACCACTAATGCGTAAGGCTTTTCAATGTCATTGTCTACCAGAATTTTGTACTCGTCTTCTTTGTCTGCAGACTGAACCACAATCCAACCATATATAGCATCCGACCAATATATATTGTTTGAGACCCAATCTACGGATATACGAGTTGAAGACCTTGATAAACCAGAATGAATAACAGTCACGGAAAGGTTGGCAGAATCTCCTCTCCAGTTTAAGTTTTCCACTGCATATATAGTAGCCGTGTGCCAGTCATAAATGTAAAGTCTATTTCTGACATAGTCGACATCAATGTTGAGCAGCCTTGTGTTGAATTCCGTAAACCAAATATATCTTGTAGTAGTAATATTGCCAGCGTCATACAAGGTTCCTGGTAACAGGCGTATGTGCTTATTTTGTGTCGCAGATATATTTTTCATCCAAGAAGAGACGACAATTGAGTGCTCGAAATCAGCACCTGGAAGTTAGGGAAAAAAGAATTGACATTATGTGTTTATTTTGTTTGGCAAATGCATCCTTTTTCAAAGAAGTGATGACAATTGAGTGGTCGAAAACAGCACCTGAAAATAAGGGGGAAAAGAAAAGAATTGACATGATCAAATCTAAGGTTAACCAAATAATAATATTGAGCCTCGTCAGACTACGAGTTTGGTGCAGACTAACCTGGCACTATTTTTGTTGCAAAAGCTAATCACCTCCGGTTATAGGCCTTTGCCACAAGGATATGTCCATAGCCATTGTATATTAAACACTCTTAGCTATGAATAAAAGCAGTGATCAACAATTAACTTGACCTTTATTGTTAAGACTTGCATCATTTAGATAAATCCTTGCATTATTTTGTTTTAAACTTTTACTTTTGTATTTTTATTTGTGTGAGGATGTCTTTATTACCCTCGCAACCTTTCACTTTTCATATGGTTTTAAACTTTTATTTAAACGAAGCACTACTTGGCCACGACATTATGGATAGAAAAAAACGGCCATAATGAAAAAAAAACGGTCATTACGAGAAAATTCGACCTTCATGATATTCGGACGTTCTGATTGACTGTATGATGCCAATGCTACATACAAACACAAACAATGCTAAACTCGACGCCATTTTGAAAAGGATAATTCTGATTGTTTTTTGTTGTTTTTTTTTTCAAATATAAGCCCCTTTTTACGGTAAAACTAAAAATAAGAAGTGTGTGTTAAAATATTATCTTTTATTATTAACTTTAAATTTTAAAACGCTCTGGGTCGATAATTTCATAGATTGCATGTAATGGTTCAATAATTATTGACATGAATATAAAGCTATATTTGATAATTCATTGTCTGTCGACAATAAAGGAAAAGCAAAGAACCAAAAACCTTTTGAGACAGAACACATAAACAAATATTTAATATTCCTGATTGCATTGTGCAATATTGTTTGAAAATATATACGTAAACAATTTACGCAAGGTAGACGTGACTTAACAAAGTTTTCAATGGGAAATTTGATAAACAAATCTGAATAACATTTATTTTTTATACCAGGTTTGGGTTAAAACGGCAACTACAAGTAAGTATATGCAAGTTTAAAAGTTCAGTTGCGTGTGACAAAATACTGAGTTGCTTAAACGAGTATGTTTCCAATACCGTCGTAGTACAAGATGCACTATCCTTCATAAAATCAAGGAGCATGAAAAATAGTTCCGGTTTAAACATCATAAAAAATAAGAATATTTGAACATATGTAACGATAAAGTACACGTGCTAACGCACGCAAAAAAGAAAATTCAAATGGAAAACAATGTGAAAATAAAGTTTCCTTTTAAAAGGAAAGGCTTGCTCAGTTGTGCCATCATCCCAACCCTTTTTTTTTGTTTCAATTTATTATCACAATTTTTTTGAATTACGGTATTTGTATATCATAAAGGGTTTATTTAGTTTTTTGTAAAAACGAATATTTTTTGTCAAAAACGATTTGAAATATATCCTCTATTGTATAAAACTAATAAAGAAAATAATCAATCGTAAAAATACTAACATTGGCTCTCCCACGTCGAGAGCTATCGATTATACTGAAGGGAAACAATTAAGTGTGCCAATTTCATTTCCACTTTTTTCGCAGAGAGAGTCATTCGTTTTGGCATTTGCTAATTTCATTTATATAGCAGCTTTGTAGACAAGTAAACTTCGTTACGTGGTACCAATTAATAAGCATGTATCAACTATGTTACACCTGAAATATCTATGACGCTATCTGTAGATCAGCATGTGGTAAGGTTAATGATATGCATGGGCTATTTTTAGATTACCTCACCAAGACGTTTAAACTCTTACTTAAATAAAAGACTCAGTAGATCTAAATATAACTCGATCATGCACTAATATTCTGTGTGATTGACCGCCCTTTGGAGACGGAAATACTACTACAGTAACCATTCTCAATTGTATAAAACTAATAAAGACAAAAACCAATTATAACAGAAACTAACTTTTGCGTCTTGAAAAAGAATTGAAACGGAACAATTTCGTTTATAATTTATTTCTTCCTTCTACTTACGCTTTCAACCGATAAATCAAGTAAAAATAGAAATCCTATTTATATAAACAAACTGGGATAAAATAGCTTAGATTTCCTCTGATTCCGCAGTATGACGGAATCGCCCGAATTGTCACGATTGCAATCGGAACTGCCTCGGCTATTATTATTAATCCGAAGAGTGACGGAAAGGGCCGAAAAGTTGCGATTGACACGATCATAGATTGGTTTCCCGTCCAATCATGCACTAACAAATGTAAGCAGGAAATCACCTAACCGGAACAACTTTTCCAAAACAAATGCCGTGCCTGCAAGCCAATAAAATGCGGGTATGTGATCAAGAATAATGAGAATCATGAGAAAAATAAATGTAATATTTGGCAAATGATATATCTAATGAATGCATGATACTTTTGATGGCCTTGTGTGATAAGAGTTCTTAATTCTATGAAATATTCCTTTGAAAAACAATAAAGAATATGTATTAAATTGCAAGATGTGTTGACAATTGAAATGTGATACGCAACGCATGCATGCCAGTTTATATTTAAAAAAACAGCCTTTAATAATCAACTACTACAGATACTCTTTAAAAACGCAATTTAATATCAAAGTATATTATTTATAAGCATTATTCAAAACCTTTATATAGAACTAAATCAGCCCGAAGCGAATGTATGACTATATTCTATACGCTTGACTTGAGTTTTGTTTTTGACTGTGTTTTACATTGTACCGTTTAGAAATAAAAACAAACAAAAAATCCCTTCTATACCAAAGTACGCAATGCTGTCCTCCACATGTCGCTGACAACTAATAATTTAAGTAAATAATTTTAATCCATGATTTTTTGTCCGTCACGCTAGAATTTTCGATCTAGTGATAGCGGATTTAAAAGTTTGCTGACCCCAAGGTCGTAGACCAATCTATAAACATAATTATGCTATTACCGTCTGAATTATACAGACAAAAAATGTAAACTATTCATTTCAAATATTCAGACGGAAAAAAACTGAGAGACACCCCTTACCTATCTCCTCGAGATAAATAGATAAATCTAGCGCAGTAATAGCAATATTTAAAGATGTAATGTGATACTCTCTTTACAAATAAGATAAAGATCAAGATTAAATAATTGTTTGGTAACACTTAACGGGATCATTTTAATCAAAGTTTGATATCAATCGTTTATTGTCCTGGTCCCAATGACTTTGTCATAATTAACATTAATCCTGATGAAATTGTGTAATGGAATTGTCTTACAGTCACTCACTTTTTGAATTAGCCATTATTATGGGATTAAGAGATTTCAAAACCTGAATATTAACATTAATTAGGGAACAGTATACGTGTCTGATTAAATATATGAGCCTCGTCATGACAAAACCAACATAGTGCGTTTGCGACCAGCATGGATCCAGTCAGTCTGCGCATCCGCGCAGTCTGATCAGGATCCATACTGTTCGCTATTAGTTTCTCTACTTGTAATAGGGTTGGTAGCGAACAGCATGGATCCTGGTCAGATTGCGCGTAAGCACTATGTTGGTTTTGTCATGACGCGGCTCAAATGTAAAGAAGAAGTATCTTTCTAAAAACAGATACTTGGCCGAGGTCAATCTGTTTTCACTGCCAAAAACTTTTCCATGACGAAATGTTAGCAATAACTGTTTAATGACACTTATTACTTGTACCAATTAAAAATTGTGATATACTGGGCTCTTAATAGTGTTAGTCCAACAATCTTTACTACGAGTTGATGTATTGTATTATTTTATGTATGGGCAATATCTAATCACTACGACGTAGAAGCAATATTCCGGCCCAGCACAAGAAGTATCCTAGAATCAGACGGTTTCGAATAATTCAAATCGATTACTCTTCTGCCAAACTTTTCATGACTCAAATCATTTTTTTTTTTCATGAATGCGTGTATCTCAATTATCATCATCTGTTTTTAGATATATTTTTATGATATAACGTAACGTTTTACTTTTGAAAGAGATATATAATGAGGGACAAAAGTGGATTATCTTTCCTTGATAAAAACTGAGGTTAACCAAAATGTAAGTAGGTCCAAATATTTGGAATCATTTGCTTTTATCGTTGAGTTTTATGTAAGACAGGTTGATATGTTTTAATAAATTATTTCCACATGCATCAACAAATATGTAAACAATAAGAAAAAAAATGTTTCATTTATGTCAACAGATTCTACATCTTATCGCAATATTTAATCTGAATATTACAAATGATAATAATTAGCCCTAATTAATTCAGTTTGCTACAAAGAAATAGGCGATAAAGTCCGAGTAATCCAATTGCTTAGGACCTATCGATTTATAGGGAGTATTCAGGGGAGGTTATTCACTAATGTCCCCCATTGTAAATATCAAAAATATTAACAACTGTATTTTAACCAATATTAACGTATCAAATATAAGGTATACCCATTACCTATATAATTCCGCTATTAAATTCATTAGCAAAGATCGGAGGCGCCACCACGTACAAAATATATACTTGATCTAATAATTTTATTCGGACTAAAAATTATTGGCTGTCTCGTAATTGTGGACAAAATTTATATCTGACTATTGAGATTTTTAAGTCAATGTAAATAAATCTGTCAAGATTAAACTAGAAAGTGAAAGAACTTGAAAATCTGATAAATCTGAGGGGAAATTTTGTTACTGAAACTCCTCTTGATTAATCAAACATTAGACGCGTAAGCTATTTCGTTTCTATTCTATTCTATTTCCTTTAAATCGTTTACTTATTATTACACTCCCAGATTTTAGCATGTAATTTTTAAATGACCAAATTCAATGAGAATTCTACTTATATTCAGTTCTTCCCTGAAAAGATTACAGGATCAATCTGATTTTAGACGGCTCTCGGCCGAAAAAAAGTTCTCATCACAATTGTAAAAATTAACTCGAGCATATTAAATGCATAAGAATAATTTAAAATAACCTTGGCTGCTTTTTCATATCACATTAATTGTGTCGTCTTTTAGTAAATTCATCGAAAAAATGCCTTTTCTTACATATTCATACTTTTAGTATCGGCGCGAGGTGTGAACAACACGGCACCGCGTCATGCGGAGACACGACGTTTAAGACAGTATATAAAACCGGTTTTAGCGAATGGGGAAAACGCGATACCACGAAATTAAAATAACCCAAAAAAGTGCCAAAATTAATAATTTTATATTAATGCACATTAGTTTTTATTTAATGACCAGTAAAGTCACGAAATTTCACTTTCTTTTCACCTTTTAGAACATATGTACAATTATAACCGTTGTTTTCAGATTTTTTTTTAATCTGGAAATTTTCACATTTTTTATAAGAAACAAAACATTGCTGACAACCATAGTACATATACAAAATAAACAATATGAAAACATTTTTCGCAATGAAATGAAGTCAGCGATAACATTGAAAAGTACGCAAAAACATTTTTTTCATATATCATAAAATACCATAAAAACATTTTAACGTACCGGTCAGTTGCGCCCAAACAACATTTTGTAAAGGCACTGTCGCCAGAAACAACACTGTTAGAATTAGGACATCCGTTTTTATTTCCATAATTAAAAAAAATGTTTAACTTAAGCGAACACAAAACTGATATGTCGGACAAATATCCACGGCTTTAACGATCTGCTGGCCGGTCAACCGTTTTAAACTTCCTAGTTGCACGTCATGGTTAAAACATTATCATTCTAATATACCGACAAAAAATTGTTTTAATACTTATGTAATAGTTACCGTACGAGGAATAGGTCTGCACAGTATTTACTGACCCGGGTGGCGATTTGAAGACCGAGAGAGCGTAGCGATCGAGGTTTTAAAAAGGCCACCGGGTCTGTAAATACTATGCAGACCTATTCCGAGTGCGGTAACTATCTAACCTACATGCTCTTTTGTTTTTCTATCCATACATCAGTTTTTAGCTCAGTATTTATTAATATTACTCACAAGAAACATATTACTTATGTACTTTATCATGTTTAAGAAAGCATTCCAAAGCCAAGCAAAGATACCATCCGTTACGCTCTTGTAATTCATTCGTTCACAAATCAGGTGTTATTTGAATATTCTCGAGATTTTCGTGGGGTTTCATTATGTAATAAGGTCAGGTAATGTACTTATTGAGTTAATACACAGAAAATGAAAACAGTTTGTAGATCATTATTTTGATATATGAATACATAACATATTAATAATATGAATGTCACGGTTCAGAACTGTTCACTATTTAGGGGAGAAGATGTGTAAGCGGCCGGATAGCTCAGTCGGTAGAGCCGCGGTACGGTATTCCGAGGGTCCCGGGTTCGAGTCCCGGTAAGGCTGCACATTTTTCTCACCCTGTGACATTTGGCGCCCAACGTGGGGCCGTGACTGATATAGCTCAGAGTTTAATTTACATTGCTCTGTAACTCTGTGAAATTCGAGGACGAATTTCAATATAACAGAGGAGTATGTCATGGTTCAGAACTGTTCACTATTTAGGGGAGAAGATGTGTAAGCGGCCGGATAGCTCAGTCGGTAGAGCCGCGTTACGGTATTCCGAGAGTCCAGGGTTTGAGTCCCGATCAGACTGCACATTTTTCTCCCCTGTGACATTTGGCGCCAACGGGGGACCGTGACTGATATAGAGTTTAATTTACATTGCTCTTTTTGTGAAATCGAGGACGAATTTCAATTAGCAGAGGAGTATGTCACGGTTCAGAACTGTTCACGATTTAGGGAGAAGATTGTAAGCGCCGGATAGCTCAGTCGGTAGAGCCGCGTTACGCCGAGGTCCCGGGTTCGAGTCCCGTCAGGCTGCACATTTTCTCCCCTAAATAGTGAATAGTTCTTCTCTTAATCCCAGAGAAGATTGAAGGAAGCAGCCTTAAGTCTATTGATTGGAAGAAGGAGCAGCAAGATGATCCAACACTTTCCCGTTTAGATCAACTCTTTGAAATTGGTCATAGGTTAACTGAACGCCAAAAAGTCACATGAAACGGCCAAGGTTCGATCGTTTCTGAAGGAATGGAGCAACGTTTACTTTAAGGATTCAATTTTTTATCGTAAAGGTACTTCAAATGGTTATCCTGTTACTCAGCTTGTTCTCCCTGAACATATGCTTGATTTAGCTTTCCAGGGTTTGCATGATGAGTCAGGACATCAAGGTTGTACAAGGAACGATTTCCTTGTTCCGTTCACGTTTCTTTTGGCCTCAGTTAGAACAGTATATCGAACACAGGGTTCGAAACTGCCCCAGATGTATCTGGAGAAAGTCATTGGATAAAACGACTGCTAAGTTAAATCCTATTCAGTCGAGTTATCCAATGGAAATTGTCTGTATGGATTTTCTTTCTCTCTGGAGATGTCTCGGGGTGGTTATGAAAACATCTTGATCATTACTGATCACTTAAATCGTTTTGCTCTGGCTATCCCTGCCAAGAACCAAACTGCACATACTACCGCTAAACTTCTCTTTGAAAATTTGTTTGTCACTATGGTTTTCCTAGTCGGTTCCATAGTGATCAAGGGCGGAATTTTGAAAGTGAAGTTATCCGGGAGTTGTGCAAGTTGGCCAATATTGACAAAACCAGGACTACTCCGTATCATCCACAGGGTAATGGGATGCCTGAGCGCTTTAACAAAACCCTCTTGAATATGTTAGGGACCCTGGAAGATGACAAGAAGGTCAATTGGAAGTCTCATGTTCCCGCTCTTGTCCATGCCTATAACTCTACTCCCCATTCTTCTACTGGTTATTCTCCCCACTTCCTCATGTTTGGTCGCCACCCTAGGCTTGCCATCGATGCGTTTCTTGGCATCGAACCAGACAAATTTTCCTGTCAAGGACCATTCTTACGTCTCAGGTCTCCAGAACCGACTAAAATTCTCATATTCTGTTGCACTCCGAGAGGCCAAGAAACAAGGCAAGAAACATAAAAGGTACTATGACCTCCGCGTGTGAGAGAAGCGGAATTGAAGCCCGGGGATCGAGTACTGGTCCGAAATGTAGGTGTTCGGGGAAAATCCAAACTTGCCGATAGATGGGAAAAAGATGTTTACACCATTCTCAGCCAGCCCACCTCTGGAATTCCCATCTATGAGGTGAAGAAGGAAAACAGCAAGGACAGGTCCAGGGTTTTGCACAGGAACCTTTTACTTCCCTTTATGGGGATGCCTTTGTGCAAAACAACTGAGTCCTTATACAAGCCAGCTTCCTCTGACTTACATTCGGATCAGAACTCGTTCTCCAATCCCTCCTCTGATGTTTCCATTACAGCTCCGTTAGATTCCAATACCTCACTTACATCAAGTCCATCAAATGTTTCACAAAGCAATTCTTCCACAATACATGATTCTAACAATTTTATGTCAACTTTTTTTACAGGAACATCAAACAGCAAACAAGATGCCACGTCAACAACTCAAACTTCTCATTCTGTTACAGGTTCAAAATATGTCATTCCTGCACTGAAAAATCCATCTAAGGACAACAACAACAATTTACAGAGGCAGAAACGTACAAGAAAGAAACCCGGATGGATGCTTAATGATAACTGGAAATTAAATTAATGCTTTTTCTTCTTTTTTTTTATAGTATAGGTGTGTCTCAAGTTAGGCGTTGTTCAGTACCTGATGTGTTTCGTTTTATGTTTTATACCATATACCATATATTTTACCTTGATAATTTATAAATGTACTTTACAGTACTTTAAAAATAAAGGATTTATTGTTGAGAGTGCACCTCTTAAATGAATTCTCAGTTCTACTGATAAATTAAAATTTTGTTTCTGCGTGACATATATTTTTCGCGATTCGCGGCATTCGGTATTTTTGTGGAACATGCTTGAGTTTAAGGTATTTTGCCCGGGTATTATATATTTACTCACAGGTTGTAATTGCCTTCAGTATTTATATTTAGTTATGTAGTGCCTAGTAGTTTAGTTACTTTATGGTATAAGCTTACTACTTGCAATATCTGATTCAAGCTCTTCCTCTTTAATATTTTATGAATGTCGGGGCGACATTCCCCAAAGTGGGGAAGTATGTCATGTGGTCGATATTCGTGTTTTTGAATATCGTTTTTATGTATCATTTTGTCCTTGTATTTGTATATATATATCTCTTGTATTTGTCTGTTTACAGTCCGATATACAAAATCCATTATCCCATATCATTCCTATATCATTCCGTTTCATCATCTCATTATAACAATTAATTTCTCAGATTTCATTTGACATAATTTGCATGCCGGGCCTCAGTTTTTACAAACTTCCCGGAAAATCCACCTCACGCATGCGCACTTTGATATAAATATTTCTCTTGGTTTGCGCCAGAAATTGTTATCTTATTTATTTATTTATTAATCAAGGCGTATGTTTATGTCCTTACAGGTAATTGTTGTTATTCATTATGTTTCATTATCATGCATATTTCCATTGATCGTTTATGTATTTCGGATCTGTATTTATGCACTTTGATATAAATATTTCTCTTGGTTTGCGCCAGAAATTGTTATCTTATTTATTTATTTATTTATTTATCAAGGCGTATGTTTATGTCCTTACAGGCATAAACAGACCATTCATACATTTGAAAAGGACCATACGACATAAACAAATACTGAGGAAGATAAAAATGTTTTCTAATCATAAAAAGGGAACACTTTATCATTATTATATAATAAATTTCATGGTAAATAGATTATCAGGCTATTTCTTATATAATTAAATTATACGATTTTTTCAAAGGAAATTAAAAGACGGGGTTCTATGAATAAATATTAGTAATAAATGAAGTTACACCGTTATGTAAGATGGTTTTGTTGTTGTTGTTTTTTATGATGGCTGATTTTAAATGTTCTTAGAATTTCATCCATTTTTGGAAGAATTTTCTTTCCGTGTATTCTTAATTAGCATCATCCGTTATAAGACCGCATGTAAGCACGCGGTCTAGAATGGAAGCACAAGTCGTATTCTTGGTACTGGTATACAAAATCCAAATTGTAATGTAAAAATAACTGGGAAAAAATGAGAAAAACGGTCTAATACTTAAGATGAACTATACTCTCTCTGAAAGTAATATTTTGGGAAAGAAAATTGCAGAAGTTGACTTTGATTCGATATGCACCAATAATATAATCGTCGTATATATCCTATAATGCAAAATTGTTAAAATAATGCAGGATTCTGCAAATTCAGACATAGTTGTGGAAATAAATACCGAAAACTAGTATCTTATGAAGCTATATAGTTCGGCAAATGTGTTAGGTATACCGACAAGCAAACTTTAAAGAAAGGCTTAATGTGCATTGTTATACTCATTAAAATCGGCGAAACACAAAACTTTAACGCCAGAACAGTAACGTTAGCCAGTTCGTTTTTCTCACAAATAATCTGGAATATAAGTTATGAGGGTACTTACAGCCGTATGCGCTAATTTATTTCGATTAATCTTTAAAATATATATCGACCCTTTTTCCTATTCAAAGTGGTCATTATCCCCCTCCCCCACAATTTAGCGTTATTTTACGGTGAATATTGTGTAATGTAATGCACGAGTTTCTCGACTTCACATATTTCTTGCATATCAGACAGGATTATCTACCGTTTACACCGGTGCTAGAAAACTCTATCTTACACCCCCCATGTAAGACAAGTCGCGTGTTTTAAATAACGTCATTGACGCGACCCTTTTATGAATGAATTGCGTTCTTAGGATGACGTCACTTAACCGTTATGAATGAAATTGTCAGTTCATACGCTACTATAAGTAAAAAGTGCGTTATAAGAATATCCGTTTTTGTAATTTCTGCTTGAAAATAATTGACATGTTATATGCAAGAAAAAGAATCAAACACCGGTTGTTGGTACAGACAGGAATTTCTAGCTCTCGGGTGACTTTACAGCGGAAACTCGGCAGAGCCTCGTTACCGCCGTAAACAGTCACCCTCGAGCCAGATATTCCGGTCTGTACCGGCAGCCGGTGTAAGATTCTTATATTCTATTGTATAGAGAACAATAGTACAATAACCGGTCGGTATCTATTTGCAGACCTGTTAACCGGTCGGTAAGTGATTAACTAGACCGCTTTTAACAAAGGAGCCGGTAGGTAAAAATAAATATATGTTTATCTATTAAATAGATGTAGAGAAACTTCCTAGGTGAAAAGTATGTTTAAAAAATATAATTGAAATCGCGATTCAATTAATTAATATGAATCAAATGATGCTTCATTTTTGCATTGAATTGTAGTTTTACTGCAAGTTTTTTTATTGTTGTTGTTAGTAAGTGCCAACCCCTGTAAGTCGAAAAAATATAATTGTCTTAAGGGAGTGTCTTACAGTCTCACTAACCTTTAGTTCATATGTAAATGGGACCCCCAACCAAACCACCCCCCCCCCAAAAAAAAGACTTTATTTTCGCGTGATCTGCCACCGAACATCTTGAATCCCACATAATACTAATAAAAAATAGAAATTATATATATATACATCGCTATTTATCCGTAACCTGGTTTATATTAACTGCGTCATATGTCGTTTATGAAGTCAAGTTCTCCATACAAACGTGCTCATTTAATCTTCAGATAATTACACGGACACATTTACTTCACTTTCTTAATTGGAAAAGGAAGCATTTCTAATTGTTTACAGCTTTGTCTGCATAAAACCTCCGCTTTTGGATGTGAGTATTTTCTTGAAAGTTTTTACTGTTTAACTACATGTATAATATTTATTATGTAAAGTAGACATTGTTTAAATCTATATTTTAGTATCCTTTCCTTTTCTTTCTCAAAAGGCAGAGGTAATTTCAGATCAGATTAAAATGTAAAAAAGATATGTTTAACTAGCCAAATGAGACCGCTACTACTTGGTTAAAAGTATGAACAATCAGCGATCAGATCTGAAAGTGAGTGGGCTGAAAAAAAAACTCAAGTGTCAAATTCGATGAACTAGACGGTAGATACACTATATAAGGAGATCAGGAAATAGACTTTTGTACGAATGCGCTTCCGAGAACAATTAAGCTCCTTGTGAAAATGTGAACCAACATATTGTGAAGTTGTACATGAAGGAGTGATAGTGTTTATTTCTATCCGTCTAAACAACGACGATTTAGTAGAAATATGGATTCATCAAACAAATCCGAGATAAGGATTTCATTAACATTGGCAAACGACCATGAGACTGATAGTTTGTGCATGCCGTGTCTCCAGGAAGAAGGACAGAAAAATAAATCCGTTGTTTTCTGTTTGGAATGTTCTGAGCGTCTGTGTAACAGCTGTAGACAACACCACCGAAAATTAAAACTCACTAGCACTCATCATTTACTGGATATTGAAGATGACAGCAAGACTCCAGCAAATAGTTCTATGACGGAATCTTGTCCAGAACATCCGGGTCGATGCATCGAGTACATCTGTGAAGGTCACCAATCACTTTGTTGTAAAACGTGCAAAGATATAAGTCATCTCGGATGCAATAATATCAAATATATCTTAGACGAGGTCGACCAGTTTGCTGAAAGTGGTGAAATGGGTAAAGTAGAGAAGTCTCTAAAAGGTTTGCAGACAAAACTTACAGCCCAGTTTCAGACTAAGAAGATACACTCTGCTAATATATCAGATCAAGTTTCTGAAACACTAAACAAGATAAAGACCGAAACAACAAATGCTATAGAAAGAATTAGTAAGCTTGCTGAAGAAGCCGACAATACTGTAAAGATGAAAAGTTCGGATGTAAAAAACAAACTTCAAAACGAGATAGATACGATTCAAAATGTACTGGAAACATTAAATGACACACAGAAAGTACTAACTACAGTGAAACAAAATGCTAGGCAGCCTCAAGTTTACATAGCTTTTAAAAAGGCTGAACACCAGTTGGATAAGTATGCTTTATATGCAGATGAAATTGAAAGTAACATGAAAGAGACAAATGTTCACTTCAAATTTGATAAGACATTTATATTGATTAAAGAAAATCTACACAGCGTTGGTGACGTACAAGTCGGCAAGAATGAACGCTCAGATAAGAAGTTACAAAGACAAAGTTCCGTGTTACTCCGAGTCGATTCAAATCAGCGATACCAGAAAAGGTTGTCCTCTACACCATCAATATCGAAACGAAAGAAGGCGATTCCAGTGGGTGGTCATTCCGTCCGGATTCCAGGTGACAAAACCACGTGTCATGTGACCGGCAGTGAAATTCTTGAAGACGGCAGAATTCTCCTGGCCGATTATCACAATAAGAGTATAAAACTTTTTAACAAGAATTGCAGCTACATCAGCCACATAGTGCTCACATCTAGACCTAACGACATTGTGGTTACAGGAGAGAAAGAAGTTGCAACTTCCCTAATTGATGAGAGCGTCATTCAGATAATAACGGTCAACACGACCCTATCTTTGTGCAGACGCATAGACACGGGTTTTCCTTATCACGGTCTGGCCTATTGTAGCGAAGGAAAACTATACGGATCCACTTCAGTGAAGGGTGGAACAGGAGAAATACATGTGCTAGATATTACTGGAAAGATATTAGATTCTATCAAACATGTCACCGAGCAGGTCAACCTCGTTCGACCATCAGCGATCCGTATAGACAGCAAGAAGCATTTGCTGTATATCAATGATTTGGGAAGGAATTGCGTGTACTGTATGGACATTTCAAATGGAGAATCACATTATAAAGAGGTGTTTACCTACACAGACAGAAATTTAGAGCTTAGAAGTGGAATTGCCATAGACTCAGACGGCGATGTTTACATTTCTAGTGGAAACATGACTGTTCATCAAATTTCTCCCGACGGGGTCAAAGTTCACGAAATTCTGACTGCAGCCGACGGTTTGGGACTACCACATTGTCTAGCGATTTCATCACAGGATAACCACCTTCTAGTGTCAGAGTTCAAAGAGAATAGCTTCAAATTATTTGCATTAAGATAAAAATGGAAAATGGAAATTAAAGATTTGACAGCTAATTAATCCTTTTGAAGCGGGGTGAAACAAGACATAAAGGCGGTTTATGGAAAAGAAACTGGAAAGTGTGTACGTTGCATAAAACTGCATCTGAAATATGAATTTCCAGATACAATGTGAAGTATTAAGACATTGTATATAAATTATGCCAAAGCTATGTATATAACTAAGGCTGGTGCGTTTGCGACTAGCACGGATCCAGACCAGCCTGCGCATCCGCGCAGTCTGATCAGGATACATGCTGTTCGCTATCAGTTTCTCTACTTGTAATTGTTAGTAAGCGAACAGCATGGATCCTGATCAGATCCCGCATCCGCGCAGTCTGATCAGGAAACATGCTGTTCGCTATCAGTTTCTCTACTTGTAATAGTTAGTAAGCGAACAGCATGGATCCTGATCAGACTGCGCAGATGCGCAGGCTGGTCTGGATCCATGCTGGTCGCAAACACATTATGTTGGTTTTGTCATGGCACGGCTCATATTATCGCAACGAGACAAACTTGGTTACGGAGACAAAAATGACATAATTCCCACGGCGCGAAACGTTTTCGTTCAAACGGAAATATAATAGAAGTGTACATTACCTATACAACTATTAAGCTGGCAGATTTTCTTTTAGATTTCAAGTTGTACCAATTTATATTGCCTGACTGGTATTTATATCCCGTTTCGTCGAAATGATTAAATGTATTTGGATAAACGCCAGTGCCCTTAAGGTTGAACAAAACACAAAAAATACACCAAAAGATAACTGAAAATGTTTATTTTAATAACTTTACGCGCGGAATTTAATATGTAAAAATAATTGTCGTATTAGATTTACTGTAATTGATCGAACCATTATAGAATATTGGAAATGTATTGTATGTATTGCATTTAACATTCAAAGTAAGGTAATCATCAAGGCTGAATATAAATACAGCAAATAACCGTCTTATATATGGTGATATTAACCTGTTCAAATGTTTATAACCAATTGATTATACAGCACAATTCTATTTTAAAGTAGGGGATATTAATTCATAAATACCCGGTAGCCATGTGTATAAATTAAACGTCATGATTATCCAAATTAAGTGAAAATCAACATAATTAGCATTCAGTAGTATAAGATAACTAAATAAAACGATATATGTATCTGATAGATATATGTTACCATATAAATGTATTACATTGTATAAGTACATGTTCATGTATATACGTGAAATATTAAAATAACATACTGTATAGGCTTTAAGTAAAACTACAAATGACATCTCAATGATAGGATATTAACACTTAAAGAAAAGGAATTTATAGTTCATCCTTGTTTCATATGTATGTGAAAACATCAATAATATGTGTTTATATTCTCAACCAATGTCAGTGTGAATTTTCTTATACTTTTATATCTGGAAAAACCCGAAATGAAACTGTTCGTTTCATTTCGGGATTTTCCAAATATTATATGTTATTTTGGTTTTGGAGTGATATATGTGGATATATTACCTGGCAAGATTTTATATCACCCAAGCCGTTACATATATCACTCCAAAACCAAAATAACAATTTTATTACCCTTTCCATGCCGAGTCAGATTTTAAAATAAATCATTGCTTTTTCAATTGAAACGTCGAGATAAGATTCCTTTCACCACAACATGACATCACATAAATACATGACGTATTTGCTTTCGTACCTAACGAATGTAAACAATAGAAAGGGGATAGTCTGTCGAAGACACTTTTTTGTAATTAATATCAAGCATTGTCGAGGCCATTTTTGTTTTCAATACTGATGAGAATATTCATCATTACTTTCTTTTGGTAAATATTTTTCATTTGACATTTAAAAAGTGCTTGTATATCGGAATTTACACCGCGTAAAATCGAACCGTACGCGCATCGCCACAACGCATGTTGTTTACAACGTGGGGTACCAAACGGGTATATTTAGTGTGTATATTACCCGTCAGGCTCGGTAATATCAATTTCTTTCGACGGATCTATATCCAATCAAAAAGGTGGAAAAAATCTGGAAGGGTAATAAAGTAGTATACGACGTGAAATAATCTTGTTATTCAGGCACACCTGCTTTTAGAAATGAGCAATCAAATTTCTGCTCCATTTACCCGACCATTGTTCAGAGTATCAATCGATAATCGATGATTATAAAGCGGGCAAAATTTAAGAGCATGTGCCTAAAATCATTCTCCGGTGTTAGATTTTTGACGTTTTGAATAGCAGTAGATCTAGCGTGTTTTTATTTTTAACAATACAATTTTCTTATAAATAAATGGTTTGGACAGATTAATCGAAAGAAATTTATGTATCGCTTGGCTGGGCCATTATACGTACATGTACATGTATATTTCTTTAAGCTAGTTAACTATTGGTCTATATTCGGTATTTTTTATTTTGGAAGATTGACAAAAGATATTTATAACAACTGAAGAAAGTAGGGCTGAACGTGCAGTGATGTGTTGTAAATGTAGCAAAATGTAAACAAAGTACATGTAGTATTTTGACCTCCATACAAAATACTCATTACTAAAATTATACAAATTGCCAGCAGAACAAAAGTATTAAAAAGGTTTAAGGTTTATGCATATGGCAAACAAGTTTATTTCAGAAACTGTAACCAAATACCAAAAATAAGAAAGTTTTTGACAAATAAAATTGATAGTATTCCTGAGGCATAAATTATGCGCCTTTAATGCCAAATAAAGCCCCAGCATACCTGTTTTAAAATATATTCATAAACAGGATACACTACCAACTACTCAGGTACCCGTTCGTGCCTGAAATAATGCACGGAAGGGCACCTGAGGTCTTCCTCCTACAGTAAAGCTGGAACGTCGCGATATGACCTATACTGTGTCGATGTGACGTAAAACCCAAAAACAAACAAACAAACAAAATACTACAAACCTGCTTATTTAATTTACATTTTATTGCAATATAAAACAACTGATCGACAGCCCAAAACAGCTATGTGTAACTTATGTTAGTATTTTTTTTCTAACTCGACTAATTATTTGTATTTATTTCATGAAATTACTATTTTATTGTCATAAACTGTGGTTTATTCAGTATATACTACTTTTGTTTATTATACTTAAAACTTTACAATCCATAATAAAATGCATATTTTAACACAAATAAAACCCATTTGTTCAGTTTAAATTTACATTTTTTAAGTAATAAACATTGAAGTTAAAAGCCCCTTTCCTTTTATTTTGAATCCATATATCCAGATATGAATAAGTAATTATGTACATGTTCTTTTGTCCAAGTACAATTTGAATCTGTAAATAAATAAAAAGTTATGGGTTAAGTTTTTTTGTCCCAGTGGTATAAAATATCTGAAAAATATTTCTAGTCCAGTCATGTGAAAAAACACATTGGAGTCCCTTCAATGTAAGATCAAATGCTTTTATTTAGGAAATAGATATCAATTCTGAGTGCATTGTTGAATAATAATGCACGGTTAGAGTTCAAATGCGTAGTAATATAATCACGAAGGCCGATAGGCCAGAGTGATTAATTACAAAGCATTTGAACGAAAAACGTGAATTATTATACAATAATGCACGAAGAATTAAATATCTATTTCCATTCTAACACGTCAAGAAAAAATATAATTATTGTTATAAAGTTGGACTTTATGTTTGGTGGTTAAATTTGTTATCGCCTCAGATTTTCCAATAGAAACGTCCTTTAAAGGCCGTTCCAGTGGGTTGAAAAAAAACTGTCGTTAAATCCACCGTGTGTAGGAACATTTTGAGAATAACGAATTTTGAAAACGTTAATAAAACTTTGTTTGTTTATTTTATTGCAGTCTATAATATTTCAAGCGAAATACAAATTATTAAAAGTGAAATAAATATAAAACTTAACCCGTTTGCGACATTAAAATAGCGTACTTAATTTGATTGTTTTGCACGTGCTGTTTGGCGCTACATTGTGACGTCACGTAAACAACACTTTAAACGTCTGTACAGCGTTAACGACTGGATTAAAGATATTGGTGTTCGGATTCATTTTCTTAGTTAGACTATTTTCCTTCATTCTAGATAGTTTTCACAACAAAATTCGACAAAAAATTGTTTTTATTATATACTTATAAATGAAATATTGAAAAATATTGATGAAATAAAATGCGTATTTTCATTTTCCGTATTTTCACTGTAAAAATATATTTTTCACTGCAGTGAAACATATTTTCCGTATTTTCACTGGTGTCTTGCCGGACTACTTTCTTTTAAATTCTGCCACTCACTGTACACAAAATTTAAGGGAAAGTCTTTCCAATTTTAATGTCAAAAAAGAGAAAAATGTATATAATAAACAGAAAATTCAAGTTTTTTCTATAAATACATGATTTATTTTCATCTTGTGGCATGAAAATTACCATATTTCACTTGTGGCTACCGCCACTCATGAAATATTTATTTTCATACCACTCGATGAAAATAAATCATGTATTTATAGAAAAAACTTGAATATCCTCTATTTATTTATCAGATTTTTAAACTCAATGTGAAAATACACAGGGAGATAATTGTAGAATAATGCACGCTTCGGGACTTCTTTGTTTATATAGAAAAAAATCCGATAGTGTTAGAATTGTATGTATTTGTAAAAATATGGGCCATTATTTTTATATTAGGCATTGTGAACACAACCTGTAGCAGGTGAATATATTTTTGGTAAGAATTCAAATAAATGGTCTATTAAATATTTTTGACAATTAAGATGCAGTTTTTTACTTAGGAAGTAGATATCAATTCTGAGTGCATTGTTGTAGAATAATGCACGGTTTGAGTTCAAATGCGTAGTAATATAATCACGAAGGCCGATAGGCCTGAGTGATTAATTACAAAGCATTTGAACGAAAAACGTGCATTATTATACAATAATGCACGAAGAATTGATATCTATTTCCATTCTAACACGTCAAGAAAAAATATAATTATTGTTATAAAGTTGGACTTTATGTTTGGTGGTTAAATTTGTTTTCGCCTCAGAGTTTCCAATAGAAACGTTCTTTAAAGGCTGTTCCAGTGGGTTGAAAAAACTGTCGTTAAATCTACCGTGTGTAGAAACATTTTGAGAATAACGAATTTTGAAAACGTTGGTAAAACTTTGTTTATTTATTTTATTTCACTCCATAATGTTTCAAGCGAAATACAAATTATTAAAAGTGATATAATGTAAAACTTAACTCGTTTGCGACATTAAAATAGCATACTTGACTTGATTGTTTTGCACGTGCTGTTTGGCGCTACATTGTGACGTCAAGTAAACAACACTTTAAACGTCTGTACAGCGTTAACGACTGAATTAAAGCTATTGGTGTTCGGATTCATTTTCTTAGTTAGACCATTTTCTTTCATTCTAGATAGTTTTCACAACAAAATTCGGCAAAAAAATGTTTTTTATTTATCAGATTTTCAAACAAAATGGCGCCCTCAATGTGAAAATACACAGGGAGATAATAAGAACGGCGAGTGCATTGTGTAGAGGTTATTACATGGGGCAAGTGTGCCTTTAGTCCATATTGGCACACTTGGTGACTTATTTGCCCGAGGGCTTTAGCCCGAGGGCAAATTCGAACCAAGTGTGCCAATATGGACTAAAGGCACACTTGCCAAATGTAATGACCTGTTTATTGCATATGTTCCGCAGCATTTTTTCAGACTGGAATAAAATCAAGCAATAAAGTAATTGTTATATTTATATTTATTAATTGCTTGAAAATAGATATTTCAATGTATGTTTAAGCAGATAAAATATATAGTTAATCCACAGTTCATGTATTAAACAATATAATAGTGAAATAAATAAATAACTGATTCAAAGTAAGCGTCTCTTTCATGCGCAATCACAGAAAATAAAAATAAAGAAAGATATAGTTTCTTCTTTCGATTTCTATGTAATATGTCCAATTTCAGTCTCTATTTAAGCACAAATTGTACTGAAGCATTGAATGTACAATTTACAAACATTCGACTTGGATCAAATTTTCTGCCAGATGTTTCTTTATCCCGAATACATGTGCTTAATGTTCCATCTGGATGATGAACTATAGGGAGATTTAGAACCTGTGCGCCACTACTATTTCACAACTTTTCTCAAATTGTTCAATGTTGTTTAATGCTTCTTCGATTTCTTGAGATGCGGCTAACAACTCGTGTCCAACTCGGTATCAGCCATTTCTTGCTCCTCCATTCTGGCAATGGTAGATGTTGATGCAGTTACTTTGTTTAATGCGTGTGCGTTATCAGACATTGTTATCTGTTGCTCTATAGACATGGTGTTATAAGAGTTTAGTGACATTAGATTTTTATGTCCAACCAACTTGGCAACATGAATTGCTGGTACTTCATTTCTTAGTTGCTCTGTAACAGTTGTTTTCCTCCCACTGTGGTTAGTATGTCTACCAGGCAGTTTGGCTTTCTCTGACATGACTTTTGCAATTGTTCCTAACTTGTTTTTTGCCCATCGCCGAATTCATGAACCAGCTTATGTCACTTCCTGGCTTGTAGTTAGGATTCAACCCAACATAAAACCTAGAGCCAGGGTCTTCATCTTGTCTGGGCGCTTTTCTGCATATCGTTTGTACATTTCTACTGGACAGTCCTTGTCTCCTACAAAGCACATTCAAAGATAGTTAAGTCAATACATCAATATAAAACACAGTTTTTTCATAGTTAAAATGTTTGCGAAATTTTAGATTAAATTTGATTTGTTTTGAGTTGTTTCAAGTTTTAACATGAGCTGTGTATGTCCTGTCTATTTAGAAGATTGTTAATATAGATTACGATTTTTACGATTTTGATATCATTTATACGATATACAATGTATAAGTAAAACACCAATTTCATCGGTTTATACATAATAAACTCACAAACCTGGTTGTGCGAACATTTTGGGCACAAAATCCCTTGGGTCACTAGCGATGCCGTTTCTTGTTTTAGTCAGTCTCTCTGTAAAAGCTAAGTATTCTCTCCCTGATGCAGTTGTAAGTAGCTCTACATCTCCCACAACATTGTTTGATGCTCCTGTCTTCCACGTAAACCAAAGTGCTGAATGTTGTTCAGCCAGATAGTGGTTAGACAAAGCTTCAGGCGTTTCTGTAAGTTGATAAAAATAAAGATAAATCTTATAACAGTATTATGCGATAGAAGGCAGTAAATTAGTTACCCTGCTATTGTATATCTGCCATTATTCATATTGAGATCGAAAGAACTTATGCTGGTTTTTACGAATTCTTAGAATAGCCAATGCTGACAACAATAAATTGATAATTATGACTGATTGACAGTTGTATTGATTGACATTCAAACGATACGTCACAGTTTTCATGACGTCACTTTTACTGTGATAGTCTATGTATAGTGTACATGAACGGCTATTAATGTAAACAAGACATTTTAGTGATTTTATTGTGTGTTAATCATAATGTAGGATATTTAGTGGTTGTGGATTTCATCAGATTGTTCATCATTGACCAGGTAGATAGTTTATTTATAAACAGTATTACTAGAATAACAGCTGGATCTAGATCTACTGCAGATATGTCATTCTATGAACATTAGAAATATAACATGTAGGCTAAGAGCTATTAGATCTGATTTTATAAAGATGACACGGGCCATTTTCAGAATGATGCATGTTAAGACATAGCCTATTTAACTTATGGACCTTTACTTACCATTGCCAAGAAGCCCCTTTTGCTTCAAAATTGCGATCTCTTCACCAGTGAATGGATCTGCACGATTTTTCTTGTTGCCTTTTTCCGTGGGATTTGGATATTTTCCTTTTAGTCGCAAACCACATCACGGGTGTGCTTAAACGTATTACTGGTCATGATGTTTGTTCCGTAGTCGTGGTCCTTTAGATATCTGTTGACACTGGCGAGAATGCTACCCATACTGTCTGGCTCGTACTCGGAGCCATCTACCTTTCTCAAGTTCATAAAAAACCTTGCAAGCAACATATTTAGCTCAGTGGTAGGAATTTCTAAAATATCTCGTTCTTCTCCTTCAGTTTGAAACCAAGTATTCAGTCTGTTCATATCACTTTTGGTTTTCTTTTTTGTATTATCGTTTTTCATACTTTCAACAAAAGCAAAAGTGTCAGCTGGCTGCCCTTGTTGTTCGATTATATTATCTAGATCCATCAAGCGATTCGCCAAAGATTGCAACGTCCTTTCTACGGCCATTTTTTTTTTTGCAATGCGGTTGTCAATTACGTAACGTGTATATACGCGCTGACGTTCTGCCGTTACTGGACAACAGGTGCGTGATGACCGGAAATAGCCTCAATATGGGATTTTGGCACACTTGGCAAGTGCGCCAATATGGCATATTGGCACACTTGCTCAAATACGGGATATTCGCATGGCATATTCAAAAAAAAGAAACGCATTTTTGTTACTAATTATAGTAACATATGCAATAATTAGGAAATAGATATCAATTTTGAGTGCATTGTTGTAGAATAATGCACGGTTTGAGTTCAAATGCGTAGTAATATAATCACGAAGGCCGATAGGCCTGAGTGATTAATTACAAAGCATTTGAACGAAAAACGTGCATTATTATACAATAATGCACGAAGAATTAATATCTATTTCCATTCTAACACCTCATGAAAAATTATTATTATTATTATAAAGTTGGACTTTATGTTTGGTGGTTAAATTTGTTCTCGCCTCGGAGTTTCCCATAGAAACGTTCTTTAAAAGCTGTTCCAGTGGGTTGGTTAAATCTACCGTGTGTAGAAACATTTTGAGAATAACGAATTTTGAAAACGTTGATAAAACTTTGTGTGTTTATTTTATTTCACTCTATAATTTTTCAAGCGAAATACAAATTATTAAAAGTGAAATAAATGTAAAACTTAACTCGTTTGCGACATTAAAATAGCCTACTTGGTTTGATTGTTTTGCACGTGCTGTTTGGCGCTACATTGTGACGTCACGTAAACAACACTTTAAACGTCTGTACAGCGTTAACGACTGAATTAAAGATATTGGTGTTCGGATTCATTTTCTTAGTTAGAACATTTTCTTTCATTCTAGATAGTTTTCACAACAACATTCGACAAAAAATTGTTTTAATTTTTCAGATTTTTAAACAAAATGGCGCCCTCAATGTAAAAATACACAGGGAGATAATAAGAACGGCGAGTGCATTGTTGTAGAATAATGCACGTTTCCCGCCTTCTTTGTTTATATAGAAAAAATTCCGATAGTGTTAGAATGTAGAATAATGCACGCTTCGGGCCTTCTTTGTTTATATAGAAAATTGTCCGATAGTGTTAGAATTCCTTGTTTATATTTGAAGTTGTTTAATCTTTTAATATTGAAGTGAAATCAGCAAAAATAGTTCTACTTCACTTATCCAGGTTAATGGCACTCCACTGACGTTCACAAGCCTTAAAACATACAATTTGAATTTCTAATATAGATCAAACACTTAAAGCTACATTCCTCCTGATGAATCAAAATATTTAAATAAAATCAAACTTGAGAAAAATGTACTAAGATGTAAGGAAAAGTAAAAAGTTTGAAGATTCAAGTAATATTTTACATACTATGTGCGATTAACGACTGATTTTTCAGTATTTACAACTATATTTCTACTGCGTTACTAATGCAGCAAAGGCATATTTTGACCATATTTTGGTAATTCACATGGTTTTTAAGTGCCATTGATTAGGAAATAGATATCAATTCTGAGTGAATTGTTGTAGAATAATGCACGGTTTGAGTTCAAATGCGTAGTAATATAATCACGAAGGCCGATAGGCCTGAGTGATTAATTACAAAGCATTTGAACGAAAAACGAGCATTATTATACAATGATGCACGAAGAATTAATATCTATTTCCATTCTAACACGTCAAGAAAAAATATAATTATTATTATAAAGTTGGACTTTATGTTTGGTGGTTAAATTTGTTTTCGCCTCAGAGTTTCCAATAGAAACGTTCTTAAAAGGCTGTTCCAGTGGCTTGATAAAAACTGTCGTTAAATCTACCGTGTGTAGAAACATTTTGAGAATAACGAATTTTGAAAACGTTGATAAAACTTTGTTGGTTTATTTTTATAATTTTTCAAGCGAAATACAAATTATGAGAAATGAAATAAATGTAAAACTTAACTCGTTTGTGACATTTAAATAGCGTACTTGATTTGATTGTTTTGCACGTGCTGTTTGGCGCTACATTGTGACGTCACGTAAACAACACTTTAAACGTCTGTACAGCGTTAACGACTGAATTAAAGATATTGGTGTTCGGATTCATTTTCTTAGTAAGACCATTTTCTTTCATTCTAGATAGTTTTCACGACAAAATTCGACAAAAAATTGTTTTTTTTATTAATCAGATTTTTCAAACAAAATGGCGCCCTCAATGTGAAAATACACAGGGAGATAATAAGAACGGCGAGTGCATTGTTGTAGAATAATGCACGCTTCGGGCCTTCTTTGTTTATATAG